GTGCTTATTAATCAATATAAACATATTCAAATAGTAGTGAGAGAAGTATCAGCTTTCAGACTCAGAGACAATACTCAACACTGTCATTTTTGTTTTGCTTGTAGTTTTAAATTATTTTTAAAATATCCAAGGCATAATGTGGTCAATTAATTTTGCTTTAAGCATGAATAACACTTAGGGCCTGATTGTTTACTGTTGTACATCTTGGAAAGCCATTTATATATAAGTGGAAAAGATGAAAACTGCTACCGGGTAGTTTACCCCTGGCAAAACCAAAGATGCTTGAACAAGGGCAGATTATGTGAGAGTCAGGTAGCTAGAGTCTAGATTACATTTTTCACCAAAAATAATTTCCATTTTATTATAATTTTAAGGGGAGATCTATTTTGTGGGATAATGTACTTGAATAGTAATTTTGATGTAAAATAATGCAAGACTAACTAAAGACACATCTTTTCATGCTGTTATTTAAGCCCACTATTTGCATTTATATTGCTTCATATTATGGAAAGTGGTATTTAAAAATTTGGGATTAACTCCTAAACATACCTATGAGGTCTGAGCAAAATGTTTCGTCTTTTTCTTTTTGTGTAGTAGAGTGAAGGACTTATGAGGAAAAAGAGATTTCACTGTAAAGTAGTCCTTAAAATTTATGGAATATTAAACAGAGAACTAAATGAACCTGAAATAATTCAGACACTACCTAATAGTAAATCAAGCCTTATGGTAGTTTCCTGACCCTAGTAAAGTGTTTTCAAACTGGCATTAAAGCTGAAGTTTCCAAGAATCTTGATTGGAGAAAGGTATTACAGCAGCTTTTGTCTTTCACTTCTTTAAAAAATATAATAGCTAACATCTAAACGAGCCAGTATCTTGTTTAGAATTAACAAGTAGATTCAGGACTTTCCACGTGTAGAAGGGCATTGAAATTTCATACTTAAATATACAATCCAAGTTAAGCCCATTGGTGATGTGGTGTTCCTCCAAGAGCATGGACCAGAGGTTCTTTGTGAGCCTTAATTCTCCTCTTTCTGGCTTCAGTTAGGTAAGCTATGGTCATTTTTGTGTAATGACATTAGGCTGCTAGAGTCTTTGTATTTTTTATTTGTCCCATAATATGTATAGTTCAGAAATGGTGAACCTTCAAAACTGAATCTGTTTTCCATGTATAAGACGTCTCAGGGCATTTCATGCTTCTCAGCCTCCAAACGGAGTTAGTGGGATTCAATCACTTCACCCTGGTGTGGGAGCTGCAGTTGTTCAGAGGTGGGATGGATGGAGTTTGATTAAAATTGATTCTGAAATAGGAGCATCAGGTTTGCATATTTGGATCCATGCTGATTCAGCAGGGAATTAATTAATGATTTGGGTACTCAGCTGTTTCCATCTGCTTTGATGAGCTCACTGGGAAGCACCCTGTGGAAACAAACAGCCCTGGCTTGTGTCAGGGAGGAGGTGGGAGCACCAGCCATGGAGACCACAGCAGGGTAGTGGGAATGAATGGCTTCTGGTGGAGCCATGGTGGGCAGAAAGGAGACTACAAGAAGCATGGAGGCACAGGGCTGACAGACAAGGCAAAAAAAAAGAGTAATATTTAGGTTAAAGAAGGATGGTAAGGAATGAGGAAAAATTTTCTGAATCCATAGTGTCATCTTGCTGATTTAGAACAAAGTTTGAGAGAAAGCCTGGTGTTAACATTTTGGGGAGAATTTCCAGTGCACAGAAAGCGACATTTTTGTGCCAGGTGTTACAATTATATTCTAAGGCTCATAAGGAGTAAAACTGAAGTTTTATCAAAGACATTGTTCATCATGTGTAGCCGTGACTGACTGCAATCTGTTCAGCTACATTTCTTAATATTTATCTGTTCCTGGAGTAACATTTTCCTGGAGCCACTGAGCAACGCTCTTGTTCACTCATGGAGGATTTTGCCTTACCTGTATATTCAGGCAAACATGAGTCGACTTGAATAGGCTACTTTGCCGTTATTGGTTTGCTTCCTTATTCATTGAGAGAGCTTGTGTACTTTTGTCAAAGTCATTTAATCATTGCTTAAATCATTCAGAAGACATGCTTATGTGCAAATACTTTTTAACATGTTGCATGAAGTATTCAGAACATCACCTTAAGATTGTCAGAAAGTATTAGCACATACTGTTCTAATGTTGAATGATTAGGTGGTTTATCCAGAACCTCTGAAGGAATCAATACAATTTGCAGGAATAGATCTTAAGAGTATCTGTGGACCAGAAGCCTGATTTCAGTTTCTGCAGACCCCTTCTTCTCTCCATCTGCTCCTTTTGACATGCAAGTCTGTTGCTGTATTAGCAAAGAGATGCATTTCAAAAGTATGTTTCCAAATATGTTTCACTTGACATTTTGAGAAAATACAGACTCATACAACTTCATAGGACATAATGGTATCTTCAGACAAAGCATTTACACAAACATTGCAACTTTCTTGACCACCTTTCTAGTTTGATTTATAGATGCAGTGATGAGCAGTGAAAAGTGACAGCATCACTGGCACACTAGAGGCAGAAGCCATGTTAGGATGGATGGCATGTAAAGTTGGCAGATAAGGTGAAGAAGGCTACACATTGCAATTAAATAAGTGGAATAAAATTAATTCCATGGGCGGGAGAAGCCTGAATACATAGGTGTACCCTCCAGAATACAAGCTTTCGGCTGACACTTCACTTAGAAAAATCCAGGCTTGGTGTAGAATGACATAGTACCTACCCATGGATGGCCTAATGTCTGTCTATGTAGGTGGCAGACAGAATCAGGAGAGATCAGGAAGCCCTGAGGGAAAACAGCTGACATCTGTGGTGGGGGAAGGAAAGGGAGTAGAGAGCTGCAAGGGGAAGGCAGTGCTGGCAGGGTGGAGCCCAGCAGAATGGTCTCTGCTGGGGCATTTTTAGTAGGCTGAAGGACATTTCTCAAAGCCTGGGAGGAGATGGGAAAGGACATGTGACACCATGTGAGCCTGGATGAGATATTTAGTTTTAAGCTTCATAAGGAAAATTCAGACTGTGGAGATATTTTACACAATGCTGTTACAAATCCTGATCATAATTTGAACTCTTTGTGGAAAAAAAAAAAAAAAAAAAAACCACACAAAAAAAAAAAACCCCAGAGAAAACTTAATCAGTTTTTTTCAGACACCACCATAAGTAGTGATGATATCCATGGCTGTATTTTACAGCTGTGTGTATTCCCTGGTTACAGATACTGCTCAACAGCATGAATTCATATTCACAAACCTCAAGCTCATACTTTTGTGCCCAATAGGCTTCTGCCATGGGGAAAATAAATTCTTACTCACCACTGAGGCTTCTCCACCCAGTTATTTTGGTTCATGTTGTTTATTTTTATTTATAGGCACTTATCAGCATAATGTACTGTTGCCTACAACAGCAGAATTTGTTGGCTAACTTTTTTTTTCTACTTGGGTGTATGTCATTCATAGCATTATATATTCCTTTTCCATTTGCAAGAAGCTTGGCAAAGCATTACTAATATGTTTTCACTGAGAAAAGATAAGCTGTAGCATCAATAATTGATGAAAGAAATATGCATTTTACAGAATTCTAACAAGATTTTAAAAAGCTAAATGCATATGGACAGACACGGCTACACATAGTGTTAATGTATAACACAAATCTTGCAAAGGATGTGGCATTGGATGACTGTACAAACTTCAAAAGGCCACAACAATGGTGTTTTCTCAACCCCTTATAAACAGATTCTTCTAGGATGAGATGTTCAACTGCTGCACAGTTAACACAGCTAGATCATGTGACAGGTTAGAAAAATGTATTAATTGGAGGATGAATTGTGGATTAATAAGTTATATACATAAAACTGGAATTGTATATGTAAAATCCTGTATGCCATGATTCACTATCTGTTTCTGACATGAGGAACTGACTTCACTTGAACAGTGTCACACATGCATTATCTGTCTGAAAGTACCCAGTACAGAGCATTTATTTTACATTCAGACATTATTTTCCTTTCCCAAAAGCAGGCAGGAGAAGTGGAGCTGATCCCTGCCCCAGCTGTCTTCTCTGCCCCTCCTCCAGCACGCAGGGCATGGGGCATGGGGCATGAGGGGATGCGGTGCCTCACCAAGTACTGACTGTGACAGCATTGTTTGGGACTCCCCATCAGTGCCAGTCATGGAAACTGGAAGTTTTTCTGGATTGCAAGAGCTATAACCAACTCTGTGGTGCTCCTCCTCTATTGGTACTCAGGGGCACTAGAGAGTCTGAGCCGGAATTTAAGGACTCTAAAGGATCATAACCTTCCACTTATTTACTGAAAATGGCATCTCAGTGCTCACCTGTGCTCAACACTGTGCTCAACACTATACTCACTGCCTCTTGCATACGGAGGTGGAAGGGAAGAGTGCCACCTGTTTCCTCAGTTCAGCAGCTTTGTTCCTTGTCTAAATTCATTGCTTTTTAAGATCACTTATCCAAGTGGAAAAGCCCTGCAGTTAAGCAATGCCATGATTACAAAACTGTACAAATTACTTTGGAAGGAAAAGTCTAAGAGACAAGTTGTAAAGAAGCTCTGTAATTCCAAAATGCAAACTGTTCATCAGGTCAGAACTATTCTTGTGATTTTAGCAAACTTCACATGTAGGTAGGAGAGAGAAAATCCATCCCTTACCCTCTGCCCACACCACCAGCAACATAGAGATTTCACTGAAATACACCATCCTTTAAAACGCATCTGGTTTGGTTTTGCCAACTACAGTCTGTACTGGATGTTGGTTGTATGATGATAACCCTGTTTGTAAAAGTACTTAAGTACTTGTCTAATTTTAAGCAGCTGAGTATTGCCATTTTTTTTCTAAGATTATCACATGCTTAAAATGAATACATGCTTTCTTAAAATATGTGTGGGTTTGGAGATTTAAGTACACCCACATTCTGCTGATAGCTGTCAAGTCTTTTGAAACAATTTATATTTCTGTTTTTTCCCCCTAGGTGGACACCCATGGAAATATTCTGCTAACATCGCTTGAAATTCACAATGAGGTGGCAGGCAATGAGGTCACCACCAGCATTACGGATGCCAGAAATTCAACGATATCCTTTGACAACTCAGGAATCCAGTACAGAAAACAAAGTTCACATCGCGAAAGCCTTGGAAGGCGTTCGTCAGAAAGAACAGGCTCCCACAGCAAGAGGGGCCATTTACGAAGAAGGTCTTCACAACTGAAAATAAAAATCCCAGATCTAACAGATGTGAATGCCATTGACAGATGGTCAAGAATGGTGTTTCCATTCACATTTTCTCTTTTCAACTTAATTTACTGGCTATACTATGTTAACTGAGTGACTGAACTTTTTTAAAGGACTTCAGTTATAACAAGCGAAGTACTACTTGCCTGCAGAGTTTATATATATATTTAT